GAATTACAATACGAAGCTAGGCTACCGGCGCCACCTGGCTATGCATGCCGCCAGCAGCGGTGACCTCAGCTGTAAGGTGTGCCTGCAGACCTTTGAGAGTACCCAGGCCCTGCTAGAGCACCTGAAGGCCCACTCACGCCGTGTAGCAGGTGGTGCCAAGGAGAAAAAGCACCCCTGTGACCACTGCGACCGGCGGTTCTACACTCGCAAGGATGTGCGGCGCCACCTCGTGGTGCACACGGGCCGGAAGGACTTCCTGTGCCAGTACTGTGCCCAGCGGTTTGGCCGCAAGGACCACCTGACGCGTCATGTCAAGAAGAGCCACTCGCAGGAGCTGCTCAAAATCAAGACAGAGCCAGTGGACATGTTAGGCCTACTCAGCTGCAGCTCCACAGTCAGTGTGAAAGAAGAGCTGAGCCCTGTGCTGTGCATGGCCTCTCGGGACGTGATGGGGGCCAAGGCCTTCCCTGGCATGTTGCCCATGGGCATGTATGGCGCCCACATCCCTACCATGCCCAGCACGGGCATGCCACACTCCCTGGTGCACAACACACTGCCCATGGGTATGAGCTACCCTCTGGAATCCTCACCTATCTCTTCCCCAGCTCAGCTTCCTCCAAAATACCAGCTTGGATCTACCTCATACTTGCCTGACAAATTGCCCAAAGTGGAGGTGGATAGTTTTCTGGCGGAGCTTCCTGGAAGCCTGTCTCTCTCGTCCGCTGAACCCCAGCCCGCCTCACCTCAGCCGGCGGCAGCTGCGGCCCTCCTAGATGAAGCACTGCTCACCAAGAGCCCCGCCAACCTCTCCGAGGCCCTCTGCGCTGCTAATGTGGACTTCTCCCACTTACTGGGCTTTCTTCCACTCAACCTCCCCCCGTGTAACCCGCCTGGGGCCACAGGAGGCCTGGTCATGGGCTACTCCCAGGCCGAGGCACAGCCCTTGCTCACCACTTTGCAAGCTCAGCCTCAAGATTCCCCAGGAGCTGGGGGACCACTGAACTTTGGACCTCTGCACTCCTTGCCTCCTGTCTTCACCTCTGGCCTGAGCACCACCACCCTGCCTCGTTTCCACCAGGCATTCCAGTAGCCCCCAAGGAGGCCCTCAGTCCAGTCTTAGGCTCTGTCAGGGAGCCTCTGTACCTACCCTATCTGCATCCCCCATGAAGGCAGCTGAGCTTTCAGAGCTGGGTTCAAAAAGAAAAAATTCCAGTATCTGTATGGAGCACTTGGTTTGGGGGTTTAGGCTCCAGGATCAGTTCCAGGAGGAGCCCTGAGCCCCAGCCTCATGAAAAGATCTCATACCATAGAACTTCAGGTATTTTTACTTTTACTTTTTTGATCTGAATCGGGAGCCACACTTAGCCCTCTCCCCCTCCAAAGCGTCAGAACCTCCTTCTCTTTGGAGAAGGAGGCGGTCTCTTGGAGACACAGAGGGGTTTCACTTTGGATGACCTTGAGAGAAATAGCCCAAGAAGCCCGCCTCCTGGTCCCAACCTGCAGACCCCACAGCAGTTGGTCAGACCCTGCTGCAGAGAGAGGGTCATTGGGCTCCATCACCTGCCTCCAGCCAGTGGGCAGGGGAGAGGGCCGCTTCTTCCCACCACCCGCGTCCCTCCTCTACCGACACCTCCATTTCCAGTCAGTGTTGTCCAGCAACGGTACCGTTTACACAGTCGTCTCAGACACACCACTCACCTCCCTTGCCAAGCTGTTAGCCTTAGAGTGATTGCAGTGAACATTGTTTACACGCCGTGAATCCATTCCCACCAGTCCATTCCAGTTGGCACCAGCCGGAACCGTTTGGTACCCGGTGTTAACTGGAGCCCTGTTTACAAGGCGGAGTCGGGTCTTGCTGACTTCTCTTCACTTGAGGTCACATTTTTCCCCTGTGGGGAAATAAACTGACTTTGGACTGCTTCAGTCTCTGCCATCTTCCATGACTGTGTCTGTTCCTGCCTTCCTCGGCAGTGTCCGCGAGACAGGCAAGAAGACTGGAGCCGTTTTCTCCCAGGTCTGCAATTCTGTTCTTCTCCAAGTACATTATGACCCCCCCCTCCTCTTGAACTGGAGAGGGGAAGACATGAAAGGCATGCCCGCTTCCATCGCCCCCACTCCCCAACCCCTACCCCAGGCATCGTGAACTGTCGTCATTAGTCTCGGTAGGAGGGACTCGGGCTCTAAGCTGGTGTGGATAGCAAAGGAGAGGGCGTGAAACCCCGATTCATCTCTCTCCCACTTGTCCCTTTTTCGGGAAGTTACGGAATTGTTGGAAGAAGGGTTTTCAGGAAGTTAGGGCTGGGCATATCGTTGAGTCCTAACCCGTGGGTACGTCATTGGCTCCCATACTAACCTTTTGTCTTCTCCACAGTGTCCCCTCTCTCTCCACCTCTTTTCAGTTACCATGGACTCAGGGCCACTGTGCCTAGGCCTCTCTGCTCTCCATCACAGGAATGCCACCTTACGCTTGTGCTCCCCCCTCCCCGCAGTTTGCCCCCAATACTTCGTGGGGTTTCTTGCAACAAATGATTGGTTCTGTTCTGGCTCGTGGGGCTCCCTGCCACAGACCGCACAGCCCTTGCCCAGCTGAACCCTGTCCCTGCGTCATTCCTCGGTTCTGCATGGGCTTCACTCTTCCCACTCATGGGAGGGAGGCAGCTCAGGGACCACCAGTGTGGGGCCCTCATGAGACACCTCCACTCTGATTCAGAAACACACTTCTACCTCTCTACTGTTAACTCCCACAGCTGCAGTCAGTAGTGTCTGGGCCCCTCTCCGCAGGGCCTCACGCTGGCTTCTCCCCGAGGGTTTCAGGCCAGACTACCAAGGAACTGCCTCAGCCTCCTCCCAGTCCTCCTGTTTCCCCTTCCTTCTAGAAATCACTTCGCTTTATCATCAGGAGCCGAGCAGGTCCAAGACCCGGGCTTCTGCTTCAGCCCAGGCCAGTACTCTTTGAGGTGAAAGCCTTAAAATGCAGCTCCCTGGCCCCTGATTGGAAGCAATGTGGAGTGAATAAGCATGTTTTGATTTAGGCAGGGTAGCTTGGCATACATTTAAAAAAACAGAACAAAACCAGATATAAAAATGTCTGGCAAGGTTAGAATCAGACTAGGTGATTTGCTTCTGAAAACCAGTTTCAATGAGTCCCAGGGACTAATTAAGGTTTATTTTCAAAAGCGTCCCCCCCTTGGTACGCAGCCACCTCCTGCATGCTGTGCATGTTACTGGGACTCGTATTACAGGACATGGTGCGTTGAGGGTCCAAGCATGACTCGGTGCTGCCGTTCTCCTTGTCGTCTCTGGTCTTCATCACTAGACCCAGCAGCCCTTCACCTGCTCTCTGCCACCTTCCCTGCACGCCTCGTTTATAGGGGCAGCTGGGCCCCTGGCCACAGAACAGAAAGTTTCGGGCTTAGAGGAGTCCACTCTTCCCTGCCTGTCCTTTCCTGTCCCTTCCTTGAATTCTCTCCCCCATTAGTGATGCTGGGAAACTCCTAGAACAGGCAGAGCAACTATTTAAAGCCTTGTAACTGGGGCCTTGCCCCTCCCTCCCCCTCCATCCTGCCGCCCTCCTCTCCTCTTCCTTCAGTGCCCTCACCACACAAGGAATTTCTCTATCACTGTGAACTTTGCTGGTACAGAGGAACATCTGCCTTCACCTTTTCTTGGACCATAGCCACCCAGCCGTTTCTTAATCTTCCCTTCCCCAAATTTAAAGGAAAGAAAAAAAAAAAAGCCTTATTGGCCCGGTGGTTTGAAGGATAAGAATAGCTTTATCCTGCACTCAGTACCAAACCCACTTCAGTACCTTTACTGAGGCCATGAGAGCCTGAGGGGTGTCTGCCCAGGACAGGAGCCATGGCATGTGGCAGAGACCAAACGGGGACCAGGAAAAAGGGGTGATGCCCCCTTTCCCAACCACCTCCTCCAACCCCAGCAATGAGCCGCCCTGAACGACAGGGCAGGCACCTCCCATCCTGCATATAGCTGGTCAAGGCTGAGTGCAGTCCTGGGGGCCAGGGGATGATCTGCCCAGCCGTGTCAGCTCAGAGGATCTGTGCACATCCTAAAGAGGGGAGAGGGGGAAAGGAGCACCAATGAGTTTACCCCCCAACCTTTTACAAATGGCATTTAATGGAAATCCGGGAAGCAGGTGTGATTACTTTTTTGCTCGTAGATATTGTCCTAAGTTGAAATTCTCCCACTGCCCTAAACTACCCCTAGTAGTCTGAATCCCTGCCCCGCCTCTTTCTTTTTGGTAGCTGTTTTCCCCATTCCCTCTACCTCCCCTCTTATCTAGGAGCTGTTTTTAAGCACGATTTTTTTTTTAACAGTTTATATTGTACAGGATCAATATTTTGCTTTTTAACAAGGATATTTATGTAATAAGAAACTTTGCCTTAGGCAGGTGTTGGCCAGAAAAGTCCAGATTCCTCTGGGACCCCACCCTGGCCTCTCCTGGAGCTCTGAACCTGCTGTGGAAGGAATTGGCTATGACCTTCACCACTGGAGTAGGGTCTGCAGCAAGGGAAGGGGTGTTCCGGTTCTAACAGGAGAAGGATTCACCATGATGAGGTAGTGCCTCTGTGGAGGGGTTTGGAAGAAGTATCCCAGCCCAGTTTCTTCAGATGCATGCTCACTTCCGTAGCTGCCCCCTCCACCTCTGACTACTTGGCACCAGAACTCCTGAAACACCACTTCTCATTCGCCTCCCTCCCTCCCAGTGATCAAGGCTTTGGGGCCACTCTTTCGTAATGCCAGATTATTTAAAGAGAGAAAAATACAAGACAAAAGCCTTCTAGCACTTTGTAAACACAGTGAATAACCTCTTGGAGTATTTTTGGCTTTATATAAAACAAGGTTTTTAATTGTAAAGTATAAGTGCCATTAGAAAATGCACAGGGCGTATCTTTGTTAAAGTAGATTTTTCAATGTTTTACAGAATTACATTTTCAAAAAAAGTTTTTATAATGAAGTTGTTTATTAAAAACTTCTGAATGATGTGTTTGGAAGTTGTGAACCTGTCTGATTGGGAAAGGGTTGAAGAGAGCCTGGGGAACCAGAAACTCCAGACATCTCTAGCCTCCAAGGAGATGGTGAGGGTAGGGTACACAGTAACAACCCTTCACATGAGCACCTACAGACTTTGTACTTTAAAATTAAAGATCTTAATGGGATGTCTTTGAGGTAAGCGGCATCATATTATCACTTACAAGGGTCAGAAAAATCAAATTGGCTTAATGAAATTTCACATAACTAAAAATGCCAGATGTAGCAGAGTTTTTAGAATTGGTTCAGTCACTCAAACATGGTTGGCCTTAGCATTCCTGTGTCTCTTGGCTCTATCTTCTGTAGCTGTGACTTATCCTCAGGCCCTACAAAGTGGCTCGTCCCTTTGTGTAGAAGTTCCATCCCTGTCATCCTCACACAGTGCTGACCAAGGAGAGAAAGGGGAGCTTGTATTCACAAAGCCCCATGAGGCATCTCCTGTCTCACTGGCCTTGATAGGGCTCTGTGCCCTCCCCCAAACCAGCCAGCGATGACAAGGCTGAGTGAGACAGAAGGGGTGGTTTCTCAAAGGAAACTGGGGCTACAGTTAGGGTGGGGAACGAATGCTGGTTGTCCAAGAAAAGACATGGCATCCATTGCCCAGGGAGCACAGCTGGGAAGTGACAGCTAGGACCTGACCTTGCTCACACTTGGGCCTACCCACTGGGTTCAAACAAACTGTTGGGAGACTGACATAGCTTCTGACTTTGCTGCTTGGCCAGTCTCTAACAAAGGTAGTCATCACCATCCTGGGTCCTGTAGCTCTTCCTGAGATCCTCCCGTCCAGGACTAAGATTGAGTTTGCTTTTCTGTGGTCTAGAGCCAGTGTCCCTAGCCACGCAGTGTAAGTCACTCCTGAGTCCAGTCCAGGAGTCCGTGGGACATTAACAAGTGTTAATGTGTGTAACAGGTGTTTTGTGTACAAAGGCAGTGGGCTGGCCCTTCATCTCTTTGGCCTTCCATCTACTTCATAAACATTCAGTGTTGACCCCAGTGCGTTCAGATCCCTGGCCGGGGCCCCAAGGGAACCCACCTCACAGTGGGTCCAAGAGCTCAGAGCCATCTTGTTCATTGGGCAGGAGCAGGCGGAAGGCTCTCTGGAGGAGGTGGCTGGGACTTCCAGGCAGAGGGGACATTAGGTGTGCTGACCTCCATAGGCCACAAGGTTGGGAGCCAAGACCACAGGAGCACAGATGCATTTGCAGGGCTGCATGGCTGGTTCATCCAGGCTCATCCTATCCAAGCACATTCCCTGTAATTCAGACTGGAGTTCACATTGGTGAAATGTCTGGTATAGAGCAAAGGTAGCCTGGGTCTAGGACAAGGGGGAAGGGTCCACCTTTCTGTCTACAAGCCCAGGAGGATACAGTTCCTACATACCAGTGGCAGTTTGCTCCAGGTTCACAGCGTTTGAGACATTCCCTTGCCCAAGATCCTTATACTCCAAGTTTGTTTCTTCCTTTCTCCGAATAAATACTTCCAGCACCTCCCTGTGCCAATCAATTACCATCATCTGCGGCTCCCAGTTTTGAGTCTGGTTAGCCTGTTTTGCATATGCTTGAGTAGTTTATCCTGTGCAAAACTACTAGTTTCCTACAGCTGCCCCCAAACCGGAGTTGAGTGCAGGCGCCGGGCGGCCCCCACTGCCCACTGCAGATGGGGGGAAGAGTAATCGCTTGGTGTAGTGGCTGTGATGGAAAGTTGTTGGAAAGTTCTATCTGTCCGTGACCGGAGTTATGCCTGATCCTTGGTGCCCGCTCCGAGCTGCTGCTTGCTTGGTACACCCATGCACTTCACCCAACTTTCACCTCCAGCGCCCTCCTAATCTGGGGCCAGTTCTGTCTGGCGCTCGCGGTCGCATCCCCCACCAGGCAGCCCCTTGCCACTCCGCCAGGCTTGCAGGCCCCTCGTCCCCCGCAGCCTGGGCACCCCTGCGAATCACACCCCAAAGTGGGGCGCGAGGGGCGGAGCACGCCCCTAGGAGGAGACCAAGCCTCTCCACCTTGCGCCGCGCCGCACCGCCCCTCTGGCGGGACCCGCAGTGTCGCCCGTGCACCCTGAGCCCCTCCAGGCCAGAGGCTCCCGCAGGTGATCGCGGCCGAGGGGCCGGGCGGGGGGCGGAGGCTGAAGCCGCCACGCGCCCGCCGCGCGACCTCGCAGCTGGGGTCCGCGAAGGCGCGGCACGCGGGCGCCCCCCGGCCCCGGGACCGCCCCGCCTGTTCCGGGACTCCGGGCAGCGGTATGGCCCGGGCCGGGGCCCCAGAGACCTGCAGCGCCACGGGGCGGGAGGCGCGGGCGGGAGGTGGCGGGAAGGCCGAGGAAGTGACGACTGGGCAGGGCGCCATCTTCATGGAAGAGGCGGAGGAGGGGTGGAGAAGCCGCAGCTCGGGGAGGAGTTGGGGGAGGGGGAGCTGGGGGTGTGTGTGGGAGGAGGAAGAGCTAGCTGGAGGTGGGAGCGGCGGCGCACCAGGGCCCGGGGCCCCTAAACCTGGATGGGCCAGCCGTGGACCCGCTGGAGGCTGGGAGTGCCCAGGCAGACAGGGCCTACCTGCGGCTGCAGCGCAGGTTTGGGCACATCCGCTGTCTGCATCTGGCCCGTAGGAGTTTCGTCGTCCAGAATATTCCTGGCTTCTGGGTCACCGCCTTTCTGAACCACCCGCAGCTGTCACCCATGATCATAACTCGTGATGAAGACATGCTCTGCCACCTGATGCATTTGGAGGTGAGGGAGCTCAGGAACGCCAGGGCCCAGTGCAAGTTCAAGTTCCGCTTTGGGAACAACCTCTACTTCCGGAACAAGGTGCTCATGAAGGAGTATGAGTGCAGATCCTTGGGACCGGTGGTGTCAGTTGCAACTCGAATCCGATGGCACCGGGGCTAGGAACCCCCAGTTCTGGTACACGGGGACACTGTCAGCAGCTTCTTCACCTGGTTCTCTCAGCACAGCCTCCCAGAGGCTGACAAGGTTGCCCAGATTATTAAAGAGGACCTGTGACCCAAACCCCTGCAGTACCACCTGCTAGGGGATAGGCCCCACAGAGCCAGGAGAGGCCTGGCAAGGTGGCCCACAGAGGCCTCTCCTACACTCTACAAGTTCCAGTTTGGCTAAGTCCCTCGCTAGGACCTGGCCCCTACATAAGACTCCCTTCTACCTGTGCTTAGGCCAATGACATAACCCTGCCGTCTGCTTGCACTTTCATGCACCCTGGCCCCTCTGAAGATTCATTCAGTGGACTCTGATCCAGGATTGTGGCCTCCATGGCCAAACTCTTCTGTTTCCATGTGGCCTTCATGCATCACATGCCACAGTGTCTGCCCAAGCACCCAGTACTATGGATGGGTACTGCCATCATCTTCGTGGTCGGGGCCTACCTCTGATCATGGCCTTCCTTCCCACCCTTTTTTTTTTTTTTTTGAAGTAAGCTCTATGCCTATCGTGGGGCTTGAACTCATGATTCTGAGATCAAGAGTCTCAAACTCTACTGACTGAGCTAGCCAGGCACCCCCTTCCCACCTGGGCACCTGCAAGTCATTGCTAGAAGGACCAGTGCCTCTTTGAGGCCTACTACTTCAAGGCCACAACATGTTGGGCTTCATATTTATGAGTCCGGAATATTGGTTGTGGCAAACTGAGTCTCATCACCCAAGAAGAAGTAGATGCATTTGGTGCTGTCAGCCGGCCTTGGACACTCCAACCTCCGGACTGCAGGACCACAGGCCCAGCTACCCCAGGCTCCTGGCTCTTGGGCAGCTGGTAGAATGGTCACACAGCCAGTAGACAACTACTGGGCGTGGCTGAGGTCAAGGGCCTCTAGCAGTGGGCCAGGCATTCTTTATAATCACACTGCTCTTCCTACCCCCGTGTTCGTACTTCCTCATAGCCTGCTATCTGCTTCTCAAGATCTGTGGTATGGTGCCAGTCCCCCTTTCTGAGTTCTGCCGGGGCTGCCACCAACATTGTTGCCTGCTCCCAGGTCTGTAAGGACCTCAACAACCACCTGCCAAGGCACAAGAAAGCCCCCAACTCCCTAGGAACTCTGGCATGCTGGCATATCTGGGCATGTGCTTCAGGCGGGGGCCATGATGGGGGGGCCCTCCCGGAAGCCTACCTTCTAAGCCCCAGTCACTGAGCTCACATGGAATCTAGCCCCCCACCGCCACCCCCAGTCTCTGCCTGTTTTTAGGCTGCCAGGCTGCAGGTACAGGAGGGGTGTTTCTAGTCATGGGGCCTGCCCAGATCGCACATCTTTCTTTTCATTTTCTTTAAAATGACAGCTCAGAAACAAATAATTGAAGAAGCAAAGTTTTAAAACAGCTAAGGAGGCCGTCTTTCTTACTGAATTTGCCCCTCTGACCGGCTCTAGAGAAGGAGGGTCCTGCGGTAGACTGCAGCCCTGGGTCTATGCAGCCTCTTTCCCGTGCCCCGCCCCCTTTAGCAAGCACCGCCCCCCTCGGGCGGGGCTAGTTCTTTGTTTTGTTCTGTGCTGTTCTTTTAGACCAGCTCCTTTCTTCTCCTCCCACCAGGTCCAACCCCCACTGTGGGATTGTGTAGGTGGAAGAGTTTAGCTGCCTCCCGAAGTCCTCCTTCCAGTGGAAGGCCTTGTCTTTTGCGTCCCAGGACCTGGGGAAGCCTTGACACAAAACATGGTGGCAGATGCTCTCCGCAGGGGAATGCAATGGAAGCAGAGGCAGCTGGGAAGGTTCGGGTGGCTGAGAGACCATGGGGTGCAGGGAGCAGAGTTCCCTGGTTCTTCTAAACTTTTCTGATTCACCAAAATGTTTTTTAAATGAGAATTATTAACCGACCACTGAAAACTTGAGAGGTTCTCTTGGTCTAGGTGTGACCTGTGAATGTGGAAAGTGAATGCTATTTTTCATTTCACTGTTTTTAAGTAAGACCCTATGCATCTCCTTCCCCGTTTCTGCCCAGGGGAGACATTGAGCTGTCCAGGACTGTTTATTGCTTTTAGTTGAGAACATTTACAAGAATGCCCATGTAATTTATCCTTGCCGTGCCATTTGGAGACTTAGGTGGCTATTTGTGGTGGTGATCAAGTTGTTGTGGCCTGTTAATACAGCCCAGTACTCAGAAGTAGTATGAATAAGGTGGTTCTGTAGGACTTAAAACTGGGAACTGTTACCATGTTCTGTTAACATGTTTCTTTCCAGAAAGAAATCTGTCAGGTCCTGATGACTCTGTGCCCTGGCCGCCATGATGTAATGGGCATTGCTGTAACTGGTGTCTCTGCTTCTAAACAGAGAAATGTTCGTGGGATGGCTTTGTCCAATCAGAAGAGGATTCATGGCACTTTTGTCTTCTATCTGCATGGTTAAAAAATAAAAACCTTTCAGTCTGGGGTAAAAATAACTCGGATCATGTTACTCCCCCCTCCAGAATCCTCCATTGGCAGAAAAAAAAAAAAAGTCCTAATTCCTTAACAGGGCTGACAAAGCCCAGCTCTGTCTGGCTCCTACCGACATCTCCCATTGATCTCTTCACACACCCCTGCACTCGCCTCTCTGCTGCTCCTTATGGAGCACATTCCGGCCTCAGGGGTTTTGCACTTGTCTCTCTTTCTCCGGAATTTTCTTCCTACAGATATTCTCCTCTCTGGCTCCCTCCATTCTTTCAGGCCTCAGTCAAACGCTACTTATCCGGAGGCCGTCCCTGCCTTGCCTGTCTGAAGTCATTCTCTACCTCCTTCCATTCCTTCTTCCCACCCCTTAGTGATTTTCTCCACATCACTGTAACTCTCTGAAATGGTCTTGTTTTCCTCTCTTCTTCCTCCTCTGATGGGGCAGGAGATCAGCGACACTGACGGGTCGCCATGTGATGTGTTGTGCAGCTGGAGCATATCTGGGAGTGAAAGGGCCACTACCAACAACGACGCCAGGACGAGAAGCCTGACTGGTACAGGACCATCACCCCAAAGAGACAAGAGAGACAGGAGCCTCCCCTGACACTGGACACTGGAGCTGAGCCCTCACTGCCCAGCTGAAAATCTTTGGGCAGGAACTATGCTTTGTTCTTTGCTTGGCCAGGGCCCGGGACAATACTCTGACACATCTGGATAAAGTCCAGTTTGGCATACAGCTTACCCCAAATGTGTGTGATGGGGGATCGGAGGGTGGAGACTCCCCTGACGTTGGGACACAGGAGCTGAGCCTTAAGACAAAGGTAGCAGTTTAGGTAAAGTGGGGCTGGATAGGGAATTCCTGAGGGAGCCAATGGCATGACCAAAGGCACGGGGATAGGAGATGCCTGATGTGTTCAGGTACCACAGCAGGTACCTTGGGTGTGGCTGCTTGGAAGAGACAACGCTGGATGGGTAGGGTAAGGCCATTTTCTGGAAATTCAAACTCTGAATGCAAAGCCAAGGCGTTAGCCCATGGATGGTGGGAAGGGATATCAGAGGTGGTTCAGAGGAGGAGAGCTCACAGGGCAGCTGGAGGCAAGGGGAGGGGAGTGTCTGCAACTCCAGCTCTCTAGTATCTTCAGTTTGACCCCAGGCTGCAGCTCTTCCAGGAAGCCCTCCACGATTGCCCTTGCCTGCAACAATCTCTGCCACCTCCCAAGTACAGCCTCGAACCCAAATTTTGGATACTACTGCCTGGCTGGGCTACCTCCTCTGGGTTTCTCTTTTGTGTCAGACACCTGTTTGTGATGCTCCCAAGGGTATCAGAGTGAGCCTCTAAGCATTCTGGTGATCCTGGAAACTGGTGCCCCAAGTCATTTGCCTGCCCTGCACCTGGTGGTTGGCAGGTGCACTTTGGCTCTTGCAGGCCAAATTTGGGCCCAGTCACATCCTGCACATCCTTAGGCCCTAGACAATGGTGCTTACCAAAATGGGCATTTACCTGATCTTTCTGCTGCATGGCCAGTGGCACGCTTCTTTCACTCTGTGACTGATCTCAGCAAGGGGCCATGCCAACCATGTGTCCCAGCCACCCATCTGGGGCAGGAGTCTTGTCCTCAGAACCCACTTCTGCTTGCTCCCTCATTCATATCCTGAGTCACTCATTTGTTTATCCACATATTTTAGCAACCACTCCATAATGGGCACTGGGGGTACAAGAGGACTATTCTGATCTCTGCCCTCAGTGACCTCAAGAGCCCAATGGTGAGGCCAAAAGCAGTGATACTAACCACTGACATTTAGTCACCACCTACTGTGTGCCAGGGGCTTACATGGACAGAGCAGCCAGAGTGGCTCTCTAGACCGGAGTCAGGCCATGTCCTTCCTCTGCTCCAAACCCTCCAAAGGCTCCAATCACATGCAAGAGGAAAAACCAACGTGCTCCTCACGACCTGCAAAAGCCTCATGATCTGAACTCTTGTCACCTCTCTAACTTCATCTCTTCTGGCTCACCTCCTCCAGATCACTTTTCTGCGACACCACCTCCTGCTAGTCTTCAAACCTGGCTCAGAAACTTGCTTGCCCTGCCCTGTTCCTGGAACTTTCTTTTCCAGATACAAGTGTGCAAGACTGGCTCTTCTATTCCTTAAGGTTTCTCAGCTCCTCTGTTACAATTTCACCTCTTCGGGAAGCCCTCCCTGATGACCCCTTCTCAAAACTGCCCTGTTGGGATGCCTGGGGTAACTCAGTCGGTTAAGTGCCTGGCTCGTGATTTCAGCTCAGGGTCGTGACCTCAGGATCATGAGATAGAGCCCCGCGACAGGCTTCGCACTCAGAATGGGGACACTGCTGGAGAGCCTCTCTCTCTCCTTCTCCCTCTGCCCCTCCCCTCATGTTTGCTCTTTCTCTTTCTAAAATAAATAAATTGCCCTGTCGCTCTCCCTCCCTTTCTGTGGTTTGAATTTTGTTAGAGCACTCACAACCACCTGACATTACATTCATTTATTCCCTTACATACCTGCTTTTTTCCCTCCCCTTGTGGGGACTTTTATTCACTGCTGAATACCCCTCACCTAGATAGCCCCTGGCACATGTGGGGTTCAGAAATTCTTTGTGGAATCAGTGAGTACTTTACACACTCAAGGTTTAGGAGGGTCTTCCAGGTGGGCAAGGGGAAGATTATCTCTAGGAATAGGAATGTGTGCGGCCAGTGTAGGCTTTTTCCAGGGAGTGTCTGTGCCCATTCCTGGTCCCTCCTCCAGAGAGATGACTGCCTACCTTAAACCTGCTCTAAGAGGAGAGGAAGGAGCGAGGAGGGGTTTCCTGTTCTGGGGTGGAGAGCAACACGAGCCTGTGACCCCAGGGCTTTGCTCACCTCTGCTCTCAGGAGTCCGCCCTGTTCTGTTGGCCTGGGGAGGAACTTTGGACAATTCTTACAATCAGAAAAATCTGTCCCGAAACTATAGTAATTAGTTGTTACCTGTAACTGCCCTGATTACAGTTTGGGGGACTTTGATTTTTTTCCTCCAAGGAC